ACAAAATTCATGATTGTGACAGATATAGCAATGTCCGTATCTTAAAATTCAGTCAACAACCGAAGCATAGAACCAAATCTGCACCTTACATTTATCTTCTTTTTCGATAATCTGTTTCACTCTGATGTACATCACAATGCCGAAGAAAAGATCTGTCACTACTTCAGTTTATCGTGACTTTAGCAACAGTAAAGATAAAATAGAAAAACAGTTACTTTGCAACATTCAAGACACATCACAGTGACAAAATGTTTTACAAAGATATATTTGGCAAATTCAAAAACTCACCTCAAGAGGGGCAGCATCTTTTGCAGTGATAACAGTCACTGATGCAAATATCAGTTGAGAAGTTTCATTGCTTTCAAGGAATTTTACACACCTGCAAACAGCACACAAAAGAGAAGCTTTAAAGTAGTTAAATACTAAGAAAGCAAAGTGATCTATCCTATTAATGTAGAAGTGAAACTACAAAATAATAAGCCACAAATTCACCTGAGCTGCTGGTGGGACTCGACCAGGAAGCACAGGTACCTGTTCTCACACAGGTCAGAGGTGATGAAGACTTTAGCGGCCTGGCAGCCTTTCTCCCTGCACAACACAGACACAACACTGATTTCAGGACCAGCATCAACAGTAACTTCATGCTCTCAGCTCATAAACACAGGATATCGAAACTCATGAGGCTCAGTGCACCTGGAGATAGCACTGGTTTCTGTCCACAGCTGCTCAATGCAGAGGTCTGGTAGAATGGGCTCCATCTCAGGCAGCAGGGCTGTTTCGTTCAGGGTGCTGTTGGGAGAGGCCAGGATGCTGTGGCCTCGTGGGGACGGCGTGTGGCAGGACATGTTGAAGCGCTGAGCTCCGGAGAAAGAGGGCGCTGCGATGCCAGGCGAGTGAGCCCGACTTAGTAAGGCAAGTTAAAGAGAAACCAAAGAGCACATTTAGACAAAAATGTGTTTACAATTTATATATGAATTTATATATTTTTTTTATATTTGCAAATGGCAAATTAAATATTGACACATCTTACAAAAGATATTTTAATGAAAGAAGTCTCTAATGTTCACCAAGGCCTAATGTCACTAATGTTAATTTGTGAAAATGTATTGGAATTTAAAATAATCGTTTCCTATTTGATTCTATTTTAAAATGTCATTTATTTATGTGATGCAAAACTAAAATTTTCAGCATCCTTAGTCTTCAGTGTCACGTGATTTTTCAGAAATCATTTTAATATGTTGATTTGCTGCTCAAGAAACATTTCTTATTACCAATGTTGAAAAGAATTACTTAATATCTTTGTGGAAACAGTGATTACCGTTAATTGTTTTTTTCAGAATTCTTTGATGAATAGAAAGTTCAAAAGTACAGCATTTATTTGAA